TGTAAGATTTTCTCAACCTAAAATGGACAACACAATTTTCACTAAATGATATCGTAAGGAAATCAAAATATTACTCATCTCCAAGTTTTAATGCTGTAAGACTGTAAATCACTTGTGTGAAAGCAAAACAAAAAAATTGGCAAACCTGACCCTTATAACCAACCTGATTATCTAATCAAGAAAATTACAGCATCTTTTTTCAATATATGATCCCAAAAGAAAGCATAAACTCCATGATAGCCGATAGATAATGCAAGGTTGCAAGACTTACATCAAAACAGAGCCCTCCATCATTCCATCCATCAATTTTTGAGCGTCCAGCTTGTCCCAATGATATTAAAGCCTTGAGGCCAGCTATCCAGATCTCTGCCTCAACTTTGTCTTTGCAGATCTAATTATACAACAAAGCATAGGCACAACTTCATACAAATTACACAGAAAATTCAATATTTATTTAATAACAGAAATCAGCCAATCACCAACCAGATCAAGGGATCTTTTCCCATTGTTGTATATGAGGGAGAAGGATAAATAGTCCTTTTCAGGACACAGATATCGTTGAAAAACAGCCTAGAAACACACAATAAGAAGTTGAGGAATAGTTACAAACTGTCAAAAATTGTGCTAAAATGAATTAGGAACATGAAATAAGGTCTCAAAAATCTCACAGTTCTCTGTCCAGGGATAATTCTTGAAACCGAAGCTAACTTTAAACTTCTTTCACCACCACTAGAAATCCAAATTATAGATGTTTCATCCTGCAATATTGACATTAAATCAACTTTTAGCATGTCGGAGAAACAAAATAAATGCAAAACAGAAAATAGTTTGCAAACTTACGACGATATGAAAAATTAAGGACTGATAGTTAATAGAAAGCAGGAGCGACTCAATTAGATATTACATATACCTTTCAAAACGACAGATATTCAAAACATCATGAATTCCAATGACCATTGATGGCCACCAAATTCTATCTTACTATAGAAGGTATCACAGATTGTAATCGGAAATAACTCCAACAAAAGCAGAACTTTAAAAACATTTTTAATGAAAAACACAGAAATTACTAATTCTTCATTTGCAAACCAATCACTCTGTTATTACTATTCACAAGGCTGGGACAAATGATCTTCCTATCAGAGACAAAAACATTAAAAAATAATAATAATAAAATAAGTTTAGTCTGTTGAGAAGATAAAGCACTAAAACGCATCTGCCATCTTTTTCAACCTATCCTGACTGTCATTTCATTTTCATTCACAACCATTAAACTTTCCAATTACTGTAATAACTTGGCCATTACTTTTACATGATATGGATATACTCAAGAGATCTACGATCTGTTTTAT